TGGCTAAGAAATAATAGAAAACTTACAATTCAAAACATTCACAATTTAAGATGGCCTGTTAGCCCTCTGGTTTATGGATAAAACACGATATCTACTCAGAAACAAGATACACAGTACAATTGCTGTAAAACCAATTTTCAGTACTCTTACTTCTAAGTAAATCTGCATAGGATTTCTGCCTCAGTATTAACATGCTACTAGCTATTACGATTGGTTGCAGAATTAGCCAGATGTTTAGATTGGATCCAGCATTTTTATCCATTTATTGAGTCCTTTCCAAGGAGCTGGAATAGGTAGATATTGTTGTTTGATAGTATTAAAGATATTATCATAGTTTGTAAGCTGTTCCAAGTAAAGCCACTTTTTGCAACTGATGGGGAGATTTTTCAATGCTGATGGTGTTCAAATAGTGGTCCAGATGTTTTGGAATTTTTATTATTAATTATTATTAGGGCCATTACACAACTAGATGTTTAGACTGACTTTGACATTTCAATCCACCTATTGAGTCATTATATTTTTATCCCTTTTTAAATGTATGTATGTATGTATGTATTTGATCAACTCAAGGTGGTGAATGTATTTAAACATATTTATTACTTCTGCTTACTATTTTCCCACAACAACAACCTTATAAGGTATGTTGGGCTGAGAAAGTTACCCATCCTTTCATGCCTAAGAAAGGCCTAGAACTCACCGTCTCCCAGTTGGTATAAATAATAATAAAAAAAACTGCAAAGAAAAATACCCATAGAAAAAGTATGATTTGTACCACATTTTATAAAAAGTTAAGTGTCCAAAATTAAAAACCAATATCTAGTCATAATTCTACAGAACATCATTAGTCAATGTGACAGATTTTCCACACAGCATTCAACTGTAATACAAAGCTTGGAGTATGTACTACTTACACTGTAACCAAACCAAATAGTTAAAAACTACAAGTCACAAGAAATAAAAAGAAACTACTGGTTTGCTTCCACTGTTTGCGAAAGGATCCATTCAATTGAAAAAGCCATCAAATGTCAACAGATGTATATGTAACATCAGATTTCATTTCAACATGCAGAGAATTACACTTGTTTCTCCAACTGAAATGTCCAATTGATATATTACATCTATCCTTACATGCCCACGAGTTATCATGATTAAGTAGAATCTTCACCTTCAAACTATTAAAAAACTACTTATTTATAATTCATAAGATTACAGTATGAATACAACTATTACAATGTCAATTCAAAGTTAGCAACTCATTCACATAAAATGTTCTCCATATTTTTTAAAATACACCTTACTTTGGAAAGTAGGACACTGATTAGAGAGGCACATCACTGTCAAGTTAAAAACAATGATTAATATAAAATAGGAAGATCAGAAAAATGGTTAAATGTATTTCTACTGAAATCTAAATACATTATTTGTATGTACACACAAAAACAGTTTGTTAAACCATACTGGCTAATTATTACACTTTTTGCTAAGTCAAATTCAAAGGACATTATGATTATGACTAGTGAATTGACCCTAAATCTTAATTCTTATTTTTTGTTTTGCTGACACCAAGATATAACTGATTTTGGATAGCTCTATAATATACTGTAATCACTATAACATTGATTTAAAACTGTGATACATGATTTATAGGAACTGGCTTTTTACTCTTTTCTCATGCTGAACTGATATAATACAGAGTAATCCAGATCTCAAAAACAAATTTTAAAAGCCTGTTGTATGGAAAATGTGTTGGAAATAGAAATTTATGCTTCATTTATAAGATGAAGATGATTTTCAAAAATAATTTTCTGCAGTAAAATAAAAATATTATTTGCATAATAGTTTAGTGACATTATTTACATTATTTACATTTACAGCAAATACTGACTCACATTTTAAACATAGAAACACCCCAACCTGCATCTCATGACACTAAAAGAGCTCAAAATTACTTTGTGATTTTAACATGTCAAAAACTTTAATAGTTTTTATACTATAGTACATCTTATTCAACAAAAAATATTTCAGATTTACTAAATTACATTGCATTTATATAATAAACACTTGGAAGGTGCAATTAATGCTTCATTCAAACATATTTTACATTGTTCTGTTCCAGTTAAGAAGAAAATTATTACACATGTTAATTCCATTCTGAGACAAGACTCAATAATTTGACATACACATATTACTGAATAATACTTACAGCATGGAAACTGACACCTGGACAAAGAAAATGGACTTTCCATGTTCTACTTATAACCAAAAGATTCTTCAGATTAGAATGATAAATATATGCCCCAACTACTAAACACTCTGCAGTTTGTTATTAGCAAGTCATCAATAAATTACTTATCAACATAAATTTAATTATAAAATATAGTTACCATTCATTAAAATAGTGATGTAGAACTTTTATTCAAAAAATTATTAATATGTACTCTGTATGAAATTCTTTTTCAAAATGTTTTGCATTCAGAGACTTTTTTAAAGTAAGGAATAGAGAACTGGAATGGATTTTTTTATATCGGTAGCATGGAAAATGTAATAAGACTATTGTTTTCAAACCTGTTTTTACACAGGATTTTGTTTATTTGTGGATTTTTATATATATTTTCTATACTGGGTATAGAAAAACATCCAGTATATGGCACACAAGTAAGCTCCTATCAGATAAATACATGTTTGTATGTGTGTGTATAAAAATATTAATAGTTCTCAGAAGTATTACAGAATCCACTTTAACCTATGAAATGGTATTATTTCTAAATCGAAAGTCAGTATGAACCACACATCAAATTACATATAATTTTCTTCATTTTGTCTAAATGTGATACAGTATATAAATCCAGACACTGAAGTCTTTCAATCATACTTTATGACATAGCTTTGTGTGAATATAGTGAACAGTGACTTATTTCATAAACTACGGCTAAATTGTTAATTGGATGTGTAAGTCAAACCACAGCTTTAGTACAAGTTCATTTGAATAACAAACCAAATGTATTTACTAAAAAAAACAATTGTATTTAATTGGACTTATTTTCAGGTAAATAAGGATAGGCTTCCATCTAAATAATGTAGCAATGAGCAAGACTAGCACAGCATAAAAGCAAAAATCATATTTAGACAAGTTCACTTATATTCTAAGATTCTCAAATATAAACAAATACCATTTAGAAATCATGACAAACCAATTAATTAGAAGATTCATCATTCATCACAGATGCCAAACACTTAAACAGCTGTTTTTCTAAATATGTAAGATTATGCACATTTACCTGAATCAATTTTTATTTGGACCTTTACTCCAACCCCCCTTCAGAACTACCTTTAAATTCCCCAAGCCATGTTAAATAGAACAAATATAATCCAAGCAGGGTTATATAAAATAAAATACCAGCAAAATAATACATGGCATGGTTAGAATGAAGTGGTTAAACTCAAGTCAACACACCTGTTAACAACCAATCGAGTTCTTCCCTCCAGCTTCCCTTTTGTCAGAAAAAGACACGCATGACAAAACACCCTTCATAATGACACATTTTGCCTGACAAAATATCCTCCACAGTTTCCTCCTAATAGGAAAGTGAACAAACTAGCAGCAATAAGGCAGCAACTAGGTAATGAACTCCAGCTCAAAACAGTGGGCTGTTTTCTCCGCAAACCTCATTTATGCTCAAGCCAACCAAATGCAAAGTTTTTAAGGCGAGGAGGAGGTCTGGAAAGAACCGAGCCCCTCCCCAGACCTTTTAAAGAACCAGACTCCTACTTTGCTTATTGCCTCAACATCAATTAAAAAAAAAAAATTCCAGCTCCTAGACTTAGAGGGACACCAACTCCGGACCTGCGCTGGGAACGGAGCCCCCACCTACACGCACCTTGCCAAAGCAACAGCAAATTAAGCGGCCCAGAAAGAGCCTCTTTCTCTGCACCACAGAAGGCAGCCCCCAATCCTGCCAGCCCGTGAGATAACCTGTAGAAGGGAAGGGAAGGGTCAGGACCAGGGCCTGGGCCACTTTCTCAGCCACAGAGGGTGACAGTGACAAGGACAAAACCAGAGATCGGTTGGGGAGAGGAAAACTGACGCCGCGAAAACCAACTCCCCCTCACGGACAGCCTCCAGCTCGGCAACGGGCGGCTTTCCTACCGCTCCTCCTTGAAGGGGGTGAAGAGAAAAGACAGAAATGAAGGGAAATCGGTTTTCCGCGTCGACCAGAGAAAGGGAGAAGCGCCTCCGCTTACGCTCGCCCTCTCATGTTTTTTTTTTCCCTTCCCCTGCAGCCGCTATCTCTGCAAAGAGCCATTACGGAGAGGGAGGGGAGCCTCCGACGTTTCGCCGTAGAAGGTCCTGTCCGAAATTCCTTCGCGTCCATTGCTCGGCTGTCTTCGCCCCCGAGTCCCGGAGTGTCACTCTACAGGGGCGGGACTAACCACTCACCTGGCAGAAGCGGTAGCAATAATACTGGCTGCTCAGGGCAGGAGACAATCCGGCGGGAAGGCGCGGCTCATTAATGGCCTTGAGTTCCTCGCCGAGTCTCTCCGATTCCTGGTCGCTCTCGTCTTCCGCCATGCTGCTCTGGCCGCCCTGCGCGTACCGAGTCTCAGCTCCCTCCCCCCCGCCCTGATCTGCCGGATGACCCGCCCTTTCGGCCGCGTACTTCAATTCCGGCACCGCCCCCCGCGGTGCCTTGTTAGTGGCGTGCGTGCTTGTCACTCAAACGCCGATCCTTCATCCTCTGACCTACAGAACCTTCCTTCTAGCGAGCTCCGGTAGTTAAGCCCCTGATTGGCCGAGCTGTATTCCCTGCTCGAAGCTGAACTTTCAGCAGCACTTTTTGATTGGTAAAGAATGTCATCGATAAAATTAGCTAAGCCCCGCCTTTACCCTTGTCGATTGGGCCCACATTTCATCCTTCAAAGTAAACATCTCCGCCTACTCCTTGCCAGTGGGCCACAATAGCGGTACAACTTCCGTTCTTTCCTTTACACGAGTGGTGGAAAGTTTTGTCACTCTCTTCCTCGTGAGCCACAGAGAACGGCGTTCACTTTTTCTACTCTCGCACGAGCTGACTCGTTTTTAGCAACGCCTTCATTGGAAGAGGTGTTGCTAGGGGGCTACGTCCCGCCTTTTTCGACGAACCAAAGAAGAGGAAACAACTCTATTCAGCCCTACCATCCGCCGCCCCCCCCCCCGCCTTTCCGTGTGCCTGTCTGTCTGGCAGGCGGCTCCGCCAAGTGTAATCCACGCCATCGCGGAGTTCTGGGGGGCAAGCACGGAGCAGATAGGAGATTTCGTCTCGGTCAATGTGGAAGCCGAACTCCGCGCTGTCAGGATCGGTAAGGACGAGTCGGAGAGAGAGAGGTTTCATTGCATCAAGTGCTGCACTGTAACCCACCTTGGCTTCTCTCCCAACCCCCAATCCCCCCCCCGGCGGGGAAGAGAAATTAGTCTAGGTTGTATGGAACGAGATTGATGGGAAGGAAGGAGATTCAGACGGTGGTGGGGAGAGGAGTTGAGTGAATGTCAGAAACGGGGAGGGGGGGCTCAGAAAATTCAGGTGATGGAGAAAATGCCTTGCAGAGTCAACGGAGAGGCTCTCCTTTGAAAGGAGGGAGGGACGGCAGAGTGCCTGCTGGAGGCACAGATTGAAAGGCTGCACCTGATGAAGGACTTTGTCTGAATATTATGGGAATTTCTGAGTCAGTGAACTGTACAGCTAACCAGGGTTTAGGGAGACTGGAGAAAAAAAGAAGTTTACCACCTTGAAAGTATTTACACCGAAAAAGATTCATCTGGTTTTGGAACAGCCGAGATTTCAAATCCCTTAAATGTATAGGAAAAATGGAAATGCAATTCTGAGACCGTTCTCAGCAGATACCATTTACAGGACAGTGTAGGACAGACTATATGTATATTCTGGCAAGTAATCCCACTTTCTTTAATTTTACTTATGCCCAAAGGAATGTGCATAGGACTGCATCCCTGAAAGCTCTTACTAGGCATAAGATCCATTCAAGAGAGCCATGCTTACTTGTGAGCAAATATACTTGAGGATGTGTTCTGAGGCTGCAGTACTGAATTTCAGATTATTAATAATTTGATTATCAATATTAATGTTACATAATAGAATACAGAATAACAGAGTTGGAAGGGACCTTAGAGGTCTTCTAGTCCAACCCCCTACTCAAGTAGGAAACCCTATACCATTTCAGACAAACGGTTGTTAATCTCTTCTTTAAAAATCTCCTGTGTTGGAGTATCCACAACTTCTGGAAGCAAGTAGTTCCACTGATTAATTCTAATTGTCAGGAAATTTCTCCTTAGTTCTAAGTTGCTTCTCTCCTTGATCAATTTCCATCCGTTGCTTCTTGTCCTGCCTTCAGATGCTTTGGAGAATAGCTTGACCCCCTCTTCTTTGTGGCTGCCCCTTAAATATTGGAACACTGCTATCATGTCCCCCCTCATCCTTCTCTTCATTAAACTAGACATACCCAATTCCAGCAGCCTTTCTTTATATGCTTTACCTCCAGTCCCCTAATCATCTTTGTTGCTCTTCTCTGCACTTTTTCTCTTTTTATAGTGTGGTGACCAAAACCAGATGCCAATAGCTGGAAGGCCACTATTTGCAGATCTGTTTCTAGTTCCAGATTAATTTTGGGAAGTAATCCTTATCATTAGTCATATATTGCAAAATTAAAAAATAGATATGGTATATGATTTGAATATACAAACAAGAAGCTGTGTTATTTTCAAATACACAACTAAATTGAAAAGAACGGTGCATACTGATCCTACCTTTTTTGTTCTTGAGTGTATCATTTTGAGCAATAAGGCTTATAGGAGGACTTCCACTTGTGTTTTCTTAAACCATAGTTCACAAATTCATATACTTTACAGGTAGGGATCTTAATAACACTTGGAACATAACTTTACCAAAGACTCAATTTTTATTGAAAAGAAAGTGAATGAATCCTATCTGAGGATGGCTCATTCATTCTAGCCAGGCCAAACATAGAATCCACCAGTGCAATCATGCACTCTTTAAATAAACTCTTTTTATGCTTGGCAGGTGAAATAAATGTTACACAGTAATTATAATTGATCTTGTGCACATTGTAGCATAAATATTGGATACCATTCTAGAATATCATTCTTGAAAATATAGGCATAAAATTGGTTTGTTATCTTTTTGGGAATAAGTGTTTGAGTGATCTATCAAGATATATACTGCAAAACATAGAAGAAGCGGGATAAAATAAAGTTTGGTTCTTTATTTTAAAACTAAATTGCATTGCTTTAGGTAATTTACATGACTAATATCCATCCATTTAATAAGTTTCCCCCTTCGTTATATTAAAAAAAAAACCACAATTGAATAGCAAATTTGGAAAGACTCTGGGGCTGAATCCAAGTCCTTGTCTATTGCTGAGCTTCCTGATTTTTAACTGACAACAAAATATACTGTCAGGTTGAATGGCCATTAAAAAAAATATCGTATACTTTCCACAGATAGATACCACAGATCAAGTCACTTCTTTACCATGGATTTTTTTTTTTAAATGGTCTGATTTTTATATCGTTGTTTTACTACAAAATCTTGATTTATCAAGTCACAAAGTTTAAATATAGGCAACTTTATCTTGTAAGAGTTTGTGTTAGGTATATATTCCTCAAATAACAAGTAATTAACATATTATAATTAGAAAATAATGATTTTCAAGCAACAACAAAGAGATAAACACAAAAATAGGGAAAGAAAATGGGAGTGCTAAAAGCATTTCACCTCAGTTTTGATTCGGGGACAAGGATCAAGTTCTGGGATGCAAGAAGTATAAAAGATTAGATTACTCTCATATTTATCTACAGCGATGATGTTGATATTGCTACAGTGGTTGTATTCTAGAAACAATTTCTTCAGAATTCGGGAAGTGATGAGATAGATATATGATCTTCAGTTTCCATTGTTTAAATTTTATGATTACAAATTTGACAGCTAAATACCAGAAATGATATTCTGAACTTTCTTGAATCACTTTTTATATGTACTAATATTTATTTTTGTAATACCTACCCTAAACTATCTGAGATATGAAGAGCTTATCTTCCCTGATTCCTAGCTAAAAGCTAGCCATAAAAAGTTCATTAGGAAAATTAGGTTATATTTTGGCAAGTAAGTACTGCTATTGAGAAACCAAGAAACAGGTAGTGTATTCAGTTTGGCCATGATTTTCTTTTCCTTCTTAATATGATTATTATCAAAGCAGCCATTCAAAATGACATTTGTTGGTCGTGTATGTCAGTTGGGCATGCAGCTGCTAATGGACCAAGAATCAGTATAAGACATTGGAGATCTCCATTACTGTTAGAAAGGCACATTGTTTCAATCTTCCTAATTCATCAGTTAACCTCTTTTTTCCCTTTCATCAAGATTTTCAACAACCAAAATTGTTTTATTGCATTTCCCAATATAACATATCTTCTTTCATTAATACAATAATTTTTGAATTATTTTTTTTTCTTTTCCTGGGCCATTTAAACCCAAATCATTAAATATTTTAATAGGAAATAAACAATTTAAAATACAAATAGCTTATGCAAGAAAATATTGAAATATTCCTTCAATTTTATAAGTAGCGCAAACATATTTTGTTAAAAAGTCACTCCTATTATGTTCAGTGATGGTAATTCTGTAGAAAACATGCTAGGATTCTAACGCATAGAAGTATTTAATTTTTAAAAAAAAAATAACAGTAACAATTATGTAATAAATTAAAAGCTAGTTTGAAGTAATGTTTTACCTGTAATGTGATGGGTTTCTAATACTAATTTTCCAAGGAAAGAAAAGGAAGTTAGGTTTGCAAAGCAGTCAAAAGTGTCTGCTTCATATTCTACTGTGAGGCTGAAATTTGATCTGACAGCTGAGTGGACTTAAGCTGATACTGTATGAAGACTCCTTCTTCAACACTGTCATGCTTTCATGTTTGTCCAGAAGAGGTGTGTTCTTCCTCCAAAGTTTCTTCAGTTTGAGTCTTTTCTTTTTTTGTTTTAACATGAGAAATGTGATTTTTAAAACAACATATACACAATTGCAATAAAGAAGCTTTTCAAATTCTGTAAAATATAGGGACAAAACAATAAGAAAAAGTCCCCTATTCATCTTACTTTTCCTAGTCTGCATGAATTTGCTCGATGCCAGTAAACAAACAATACAATAATAACCTCTCTGTTAGGATTTCTTTGTACTCTGGTTCTGAACAGAAATGTCTTTTCAGGATAAAGAACTCTAGAAGCCATTTGTGCTTATATGATCTTTGAAAAAAACTTCTTCTCTCAAGAAATCCACGGATAATAGACATGTCAGGCTTTAAAGATACATACTTTCTGACCAATTAGGGAAGCTGCCACTCAAGTAAAACTTTTGTGATTAAAATGGTACCTCTACAAGCTGTTTAAAAATAAAAATTGGTTTCACATAATTGTATACAAAATCTGTTTTGATCTATATCAGGTAAGAAATCGTCCATTTTAAGTGCGAAAGTATTTTGAGTGGGAGTGCTATGAGCATTTTGGTAGTATTCATATTATTCCATGAACTATTCAAGCAAGTTCATTGCATAGTCAAGCTCTGTATTCTTGCAGTTGAAATAAGATTTGAAATGACATGTTTTGGTTGTTTCTGATTTCAAAAGAGCTAATAGAGAACTCATGTGTACATGTAGTACATACATAACAGCATACTAAATAATGTGTTGGATCTTCAAATAGAGTGGAACTCACTGAACTTGCAAATTGAGAGAAAGCAGCATTAATAACTCCCTTTCTTTCTGCTACCTGCAGGATTAAATTGTAAAATCATATCTTCAACAGGAAAGTTCTATTAGAAAATAGTTCTCTCCATCAATAGGAGGAATGGATCTGTCACACAAGGACAAAACAATATTTCTGAAATATCTTACTTTAGCAATCTTTTTGCTTTGCTATGTGGTATCCCTATTTTTAATATGTTTGTTTCATCAGAGGAAATGGTATCATATGTATTGTCTGCACACTGGTTAAAACATCTTAGCATGCGATCATGGGGGGGGGGAAGTACACCCTCATTCAGTTCTGTGGTTTTATGTATCAGGACATAGTAAAAGTCATCTGGTCCTTAGCAGTTCCGAAAAGTAGGTAAATACAACCTCAGATGAACAACACATGACATATTATACAATGTCGCCATTTATTTTACAAAAAGAAAGCCAAAATGGAGAAGTACACTCTTACTGCTTCCATATGTATGAACAAACTAAGTAACAGCCAGGTGTTGCTAATCAAGTGTCCTTGATCAATTTATTATCAGCAAGTGTGATTACCTCTATAAAAGCCAATGTTTTAGAGTTTGCTGGTCTCCAGCATTGCAGTGTGTGTTAATGCCAAAGAGTAAAGACATCGACAGTGATCTTAGAGAAGCAATTGTTGCTGCCCATCAATCTGGCAAGAGTTATAAGGCCATTCCCAAACAATGTAAAAGTCTATCATTCTACAGTGAGGAAGATTATTCACAAGTGGAAAGCATTTGCGACAGTTGCCCAACTTCCCAGGAGTGGATGTCCCAGGAAATTCATCCCAAGGTCAGACAGTGCCATGCTCAGAGAAAATGCAAAATAATAATAATAATAATAATGCAAGAGTTATTTCTTAGACTTCACAGGCCTCAGTTAGCATGTTAAATTTCATGGCAGTACAATTAGAAATAGACTGAACAAGTGTGGTTTGTTTGCAAGGATTGCCGAGAGAAAGCCTCTTTTCTCTTAAAAAAAAAAAAAAACCATAGCAGCCTGGCTTAGGTTTGCAAAGTTGCATTTGAGCAAATCACAAGACTTCTGAACACGGCCCTTTGGACAGACAAGATCAAAGTGGAGTTGTTTGGCCATAATGCACAGTGCCATGTTTGGCAATAACCAAACGCAGCAAATCATCACAAACACCTCATACCAACTGTCAAACGTGGTGGATGGGTGATGATTTGGGTTTGTTTTGCAGCCACAGGACCCGGGCACCTTGCAGTCATTGAGCCAATCATGAACTCTTCTGTATACCAAAATATTCTAGAGTCAAACGTGAGGCCAGCTAAAGCTTGGCCAATATTGTGTCATGCAATAAGACAATGATCCCAACCACACCAGCAAATCTACAGCAGAATGGCTGAAAAAGAAAAGAATCAAGATGTTTCAAGGGCCCAGTTAAAGTCCAGACCTCAACCCTATTGAAATGCTGTGGCAGGACCTCAAGAGAGCTGTGCATAAACAAATGCCCACAAACTTTAATGAACTGAAGCAATGTTGTAAAGAAGAGGGGGCCAAAATTCCTCCACAAACATGTGAGAGACTGATAAAATCATACAGAATATGATTACTTCAAGTTATGGCAGCTAAAGGTGGTTCTGCAAGCTATTAAATCACAAGAGGTTCTTAATTTTTCACACATGGCTTCTCTATTTTGGCTTTCTTTTTGTAAAATAAATGATTACATGGCGTAATATGTCATGTGTTGTTGTTCATCTAAGGTTGTATTTACTTTCTTTTAAGAACTGAGGACCAGATGATTTTTACTATGTCTTGATACATAAAACCATAGAACTTAAAGAGGGTGTACTTTCTTTTTCACATGACTGTAACTAAATTCTATTGTATAAGCTGAATATAAATACAATCTCACTCACTCTTTTTTTCTCAGTTTACTAAAGGCAGCAATGGAACGATTTGATGTAAAGCCACTTCCTTCCCGGAGCCGTTCAAAGACAGCTTTATATGTGACCCCTCAGGATCGTGTGACTGAATTTGGCAGTGAACTGTATGAAGACGGGGGAAAACTCTATTGCAGTTTTTGCAATGTAGTCCTGAATCATGTTCGCAAGTCTGCAATCAATGATCATCTCAAATCCAAAACACACACCAAACGTAAGGGAGAGTTTGAAGAGCAAAGTGTCAGAAAGAAACCACGGACCCTGACTGCCTCTCTGCAGTGCAATAGCACAACCCAGACAGAGAAACCCAGTGTAGTCCAGGACTTTGTAAAAATGTTTCTGGAAGCTAACATTCCCCTTGAGAAGGCTGATCACCCCGCCGTACGAGCATTTCTCTCTCGCCATGTAAAGAATGGGAACTCCATACCCAAGGCTGACCAGCTGAGGAAAATGTATTTGTCTGATGGGTTTACAAATCAGCTTATTAAATCTGAAGAACACTGAGAGGAAAGCCACTTGGTTCTAGGTGTCAAGCGTTACGATTGCATAACAGTGGTGTGGTTTTATTTTTATATTCATGCACCTGCAATAGGTTTTGTATTGTAAAATGACAATCTGTCTCGGAATGCGGTGGTGTACAACCAAGAGTTAATGGCTACATAATAAGATCTTAGCACTAGATTGCTGAACTTTTGGGGTGGGGGGGAGGGCAGGAAGTGGCAAGTAGGTGCCATAATGCTTAGTTTGTAATCCCTGTCCTTAATACCATAAAAAACTTCCTCTGATTTACAGTATCTGATATTTGTAAGTGAACAAATTAGATATGGTTACGCCCAATTGTTTAATTTAGGGCTTTAGTACTAAAGGTGTCTTATATGTGTCTTATTTATTAGGCCTATGTTGTTTGTATAAATTTATCTTCAATTTAACTGTATTTAGAGTTTTTACAGTATTCCTGAACTTTGATTTCCAATGCAGTTGTCACAGTTCTGCTGTGCAAACAGTTATTCAAACCTTGATTTTTGTTTAGTTCTCTGTAATTCTATGCAGCATCAAGTAACTCGCTCTTGCAGAACTCACATAAATGCCAATGCACTTTACACTGAAGGCAAAGCATAGCGTCTGCATTTAGATTTTTATTTTCATGGGCATCCATTTATATCCAGACTTCCTGAAAGCAAAAATGTATGAGGCACTTGGCAGGAGTAAAGAATAGTTTTGCAAGATTTTAACTATACTACAATTAATCAGAAGAAATTGTAGACTCTCAGAACAGCATTATATACTGTAAGCAGTTACTCATCAGTGGCAGAGGTTTGTAAACAATGCCTCTCTCAAATGTTATTTTCTGACATTCTGTTTCTTAAAGTTAAGAAATAGAAGTGTCCTGAATAGTTTTTAAAAATCTATTTGAATATATAACATGTTTGAACATTGCTTAGTCTGGATCTGTGTAAATACGATGTCTGAAACAGATTTGCTGATATCTTTCCTTAAATACATGTTTCCTTTTCTTGTTTGAAATTCTTTACTGGGAGAATATGATTATTGATAATTTAACTCTTGATTAAAATATACTTCATGTGTTAATGGCTGCAAACTATAATTTTGCCCAAGTTAAGCATGGTTGATTTAAATAGTGCTTAAATTCTAATGATTTAAATTATTATATAACACCTGCTAAATTTTGTTTTTAAAAAAGTTAATATTCCTTAGATCATGTCACAGTTAATTAACTCTTTTACAGTAACATAGCCAAGGAAGCAGAGCAGTTTCTTATGACTAGTATGCTTACCATTATAAAAATGAAAATGTGCACTCAATTCCAGTGAGGGAAAATACAATGGAACTTTTCACTATTGAGATCCTATTTGAATTAGATCATGTATTATTGTCTTAGTCTTGCATATTTATCTTTCTTTGAATTCAAGTTGATAGACAGCAAGCTAGGCTGCTACACTGTTGCACATTTGAAATGTCCATCAAGTTCATAATAAAGTTTAAAATAAAGGTTTAAACTCTGCTTGGTTTATTAAAGTCTGGTGCTTATAAAATTGTTCTCTGACTTCTTCCAAGGAACTGCTTGGCGTATTGAAAATTGTGACTTTCATCTTTAATTCTCAGATTTGTGTGAAAATATTAAGCAGGTGTTTCTATAAGAGTAAACCCCGGAATGAGTCATTCTATGCGAGAGTCATTTATAAGTCATAATTAAATTTGTATCCATTAATTTCAGTAGTTTTGTTTGTAAGTATCATTAAGTCTGAGTATCACCTAAAGTTATTTCTAATTTTGGAGGAGCTTTTAGTTTTCTTTATTCACAAAAAAACCCTTTCCTTTTCTATGGTTTGTAGTTTTTTATTTCTTGTCAAGTTACTCTAAATTTTGCAAAATGTAAAATTTCTTAAAATTGCCCATTAAAGCTTGAGAAAAAATGAGATTTTTTTCTTCCTTAGCTGAACATTAGTGACCCTTAATTTAATTAGTTGTACCTGGAGAATAATTTCTGGAACAAAGCACTAGTACACATAAGTCATATGATAGCATAAACAAGGCCCGCTAAATGTTATTTTTTGAATTCCCAAGACTACTTGTTGAGTTTTAAAACATGCCCATAACTATATTAATTTGCAGGAGTGCATTTCAATTTTATAAACAGGCCTGTTATTGCAGAATTTAGTATTAGGTGAGTGCCTCTTCCTACAAATTAAGCACATTATAATAAATTAAAATTAGGGAAATGTCATACTTTTTATCTAAACAGAGTGCTATCTAAACAATATGTAGGATTTTGTTTTTGTTTTGCAGACTTGAGTATCTGATATTTTGTAGAGATTTTTCTTTGCTTATCAAATGAAACTTAACACATGTGTTAGTTTAAATAGAGGACTGTAATGCATTATCATTAATAGATGTGTATTTCTTGTCTGCCTCATTCATAAATGTGTTCTTATGAAGTTTAGTAACAGAGTACAGGCCCTATATGTAAAGCAATGGAAAATGCATGTTTTAAATTTCATAAGATTATATCATTCTGCTACTTTGCTACTCCCATTTGCAATCTTGTATATTAATAAGGACACACCAGCAGAAGCCTTTTGTGTTTGTATATTTTCTTTTCACTCTTCCAACTAACGTGCAGAATGGTGATCCATGTATCTTCCCAAGCTTCTCAAATGGCTTACCACAAAATGATTTATAACTTATTCCATGGTACATTATATAAGTGTGAAAAGACTGCAGCCTAATAGGGAAAAAAAGTAAAATTGTCTTTTAATCTATATGAATAGTAAAAATCATGACAAGAGGGTTGACACCTTTTTTTAAAAAATCACCATTTTAAATGTGCAAAATGAAACTTTTGTCAAAAATGAGATCCAGAGAAGCAAATAATTGAGACTTTGCTTGCACCTACTTTATTATTTTAATAAACTTTGTGCATATAGTGAACAAGGAAATCAGTAATGCTATCCAGTCAAGGTAATTTATTTATTATTTATTTATTTATGAGACTTATATACCGCTTTAAGTGCAAGCACTCTCTAAGCGGTGTACACCAGTAAACAATGTATATATATATTTACATTGCCCCCAACAATCTGGGTCCTCATTTTACCTACCCCGGAAGGATGGAAGGCTGAGTCAACCTTGAGCCGGTGAGATTTGAACCGCTGACCTGCTGAACACAGTCAGCTAATATAATATTGTTACATAGATTTACTGATCAACTATATGGACAGAAAAGGCCAAGGGTGCAGTCTTCTGCTTGAGTACTTGAAAGTAACTTGTGTTAGATTTTCTATGAAATGTATTTCCAAATAATTGCATAACATCAGGCCACATAAATGTAATTAATAGGCATAAGACTGTCTCTGGCAATCCATCATTTCTTTATGGTGGTTTAGTATGTGTTTAAGACAAGCTTGTATATGGGTTTTTTTTTACAGCTGAAGTGTGTGCATATGTGCACATCTGTGCAGGAAAGACAAATGTTAGGGTGTTTGAAAATACATTGAATGAAGCAACATCATAATCAGAATACATGGCATTCAAAATATCCTAAGTGAGCAAATGAAGATACTAATAATGGTCTGTTGAATGTAGACTTAGCTTTATTCCCAGAAAATCAGTAGGGCTTGGTCATTGCTTGCTTTTCACATTAATTTCAATAGAATTTAAGTACAGGCAAAAAAGTACAAGTCTAATGAGTATTAAACTTCAATAAACTTAGATGAGCTTCCTTCACATAAATGTGAACTGTTTCGGAATTGTTCTTCAAATATTTGATGCCTATCTTGCTATGTTTTAAAAAACTGAACTCAACAAATGCTCAAGCCTAATTTCTAATGTCAGCTTTCAATCTTAATACTGGATTGAAAAAAAGTTTTGCCCAATCAGTCTAGTTTATTATAGAAAGCAAAACATCTTTTTTTTCTAGCTAATGTTCTTACAACATTCAACATTTTTAACACATATATTTTTGAGAGTTAATCAGTTGCAACCATACAAAATTTAGCTGTTAAATTCTTAATTTGATTCTGTGTCTCCCTGGGAACATTTTTTTTCCTTTGAACAAAATTAGGAACATAATTATAATATAATAATAATATGGATCATATGGATAATCTTGCTACCCTTTTTTTACTATTCCATCTTGCCGCTAGGGTGAATTTTTTTGTTTGATTTGTTTTTGGGTTTGCTCATGCATGTTGAGTATTCATTGTCACTATGTTTTTAATGCTCTGTGTTAACTTTATAGAATAAAACATTTTAAAGTAATGACCACTTGAAGCAAAATGTTATATTTAGAAGCATCGGAGTACTAATGATTTTTCTCTCTCTTCTGTTGCTGTGTGGAGATTTGAATGGATGTCTTAATATAATTAATTGCTTTGCTTCGTTATATAAGGAAAAAGTTGGTTAAATTGTTGAATATAATGATGCTACCCTGAGTTGTATTTTAACATTGCTCTTCCTTCAAAAACAGTTCAGGGAAATATATATGGATTATTCCATCCCAGTGCTCTGCAAATTTTATTTTACAATATTAGACTGAAAGTTAGTGATTGGTCTAAGGCAGATTGGGAGCCTCAAAAAGAAGTACAGATGAACACAGAATTCCTAACATAAAGCCCAACATTAAGTTCTTTTTTAAAATTGTTTCTCTGAAGATGGTTAATTAGTAGCCATTTTTTCTTCTGCTCAGTTGTGTGCATGTCTCCAAGATGGCCTAGCCCAGGGGTAGGCAATCTTGGCTCTTTTATGACTCGTGGACTTCAACTCCCAGAATTCCTGAGCCAGCATGGCTCAGTGTAGCTGGCTCAGGAATTCTGGGAGTTGAAGTCCACGAGTCATAAAAGAGCCAAGGTTGCCTACCCCTGGCCTAGCCAAATCCCTGCAATTTTCTTGGCAAGGTTTTTCAGAAGTGGTTTGCCATTGCCTCCTTCCTAGACCAAATGTTACAAGATTAAACAGAAGCGATATTATGTTTGGCAAACAAGGATTCTTCCTCATAAAAACAGTACTGATTTGAGGATATTACCTTTTTTTCCCAGATGATGCCATGAAATTTCTTGCAGTATGTACAAGCAGAGCCAAAGGAAAGTAGTTCCCTCTGTTTCCTCTGAACTTGAAAGTAGTTTGTTCTCCCTGAACACAATGATATCTGAGAGAATTCATGAAATAGAGATCACTGGCA